CCAAAGAAATGGGGGGAGCGCTGTGGTTGGGTGTGAGCCACCCCCCAGAGCACTCCAGGGCTGCCCCAGGGGGACACCCAGGGCTGGGAGCCCAGCGCGGGGCTCCCCAGTGCACCCCAGTTCCCCCAGCCCTGAGATGGGGCCGAGCTGGAGGAGGACCTGGGAGCAGAGCTCAAAATAGCCCCTGGCACCAACACCAGCGTGGTCAGCACCCAGGCAGGGCAGGTGGGAGGGGAGCAGCACAGCAGACACGTGGTGACCACATGGGGACAAGGGTGACCCCCCAGGGCCCAGCAGGACCTGTGTCCCACATGTCCCAGCAGCCAGTCAGGGAGCATGTCACCTGCTCAGGACAAGTCCAGCAGCACAGGGGCAATGTCCCCACCTCGGCCACTCAGCATCTGACCCAAAAGCTCCACGGACACACCCAGGGCACCGGCACCCACTGCCAGAATGGCTCTGGTAGTAAGAAAGGAAACAGGATTGTCAGTCTGGAGTCCCCTGGCAGGAGACTGAGGGCTGGCTGAGCATCTCACCAACCCCAATCCCACCTGGGAACAGCACAAGGACGTGGTTTCCATGATCCTTCCAAGGTGGCACTGCAGCCATGGGGGAGCCTGGCCACTGTGGGTGGAAAGCCACCCTTGGTCACCTGTCACACACCTCCCAGTCCCTCCTGGCACAGCCAGCACGTCTCACCTGCAGGACACAGCTGGGGTGTGTCCCTCGGAAAAACCAGGACAAACACACCATGCTCAGGGGCTGGGGGGAGGGAAGGGACTTACCTGTGCATGGGGCAGTGGGGTCCATCCAGTAGATCCCAGTACATCCCAGTACAGCCCAGTACAGCCTCACGGTCGGCGCGGGAAGGGACGGGTGACACGGAAAGAACAGGACACCAGCACACACGCAAAGGATGGTTTTTATTGGGGTCTGGTCTGGTAGGAGAGCAGTTGTACTGACCAACACACAGAAGCAGCTTAGCTGTGCCAAAATAATCCGTTAAAAAAATACTGGCGGCAAGAACCGAGTGTGGCACACCCGCCACGACGGGGCTGTAAACTCCGGGACAGTCCGTGAGGAGCGAGGCCACAGCTCATGGGACCCTCCTCCCCACAATAAATATGGAAAGAGCCAAGTACATAAAACAAGGAATGATCTCATCGATACAATATCTAAAGTTATTTACAGATCCTGGCTTTGCTTACCATTAATTACACATTTTGGACAGGTTCTCTTTCGATCATTTCCTTCATCGCGAGTAGCTGTTCGTGTGAATCTGCTCCTTTTTGTTTTAAAGGACCTAGGGAGGCACTAGAAGTGCTCACAAATCCCCTCTCCGAGGATGCTCCTGCTTTATTCTGTTTTTCACACAGGTTTTTTGTGCCACCTCACCCACTGTCTGCTCTCTCCCTTTCCCTGAGGAGACACCTCCCATACCTCAGCCCATCTCCTTTTCCAGCCTGGAAACTCAGCGTGTCACACAAAACCCAGACCAACCTGGCCCTGGACAAAGCCACCTTCCTGCAGCTGTCCCCAGGTTCTCTGCCAAATCCCTGCCTGACACACCCCAGGCCAGCAGCACTGTCCCCACCACGGCACCTTTCCAGGGGTGACACTAAGGAGCCACAATGCCACCAGCACTGCCAGCTCCCCCTACTCCAGGAACAGCTTGGGCTACAGTTCACCCCAAAATCCAACTGGATCAGAGAAGGAAACTGGGGAAAAAGGCAGAGACTGCTCTGGGGAGCAGAGCAGGGATCCCTCCCTGCCCCAGGCAGCCCCTCAGCACGGAGAGAACTTCAGCAGCAGTGTGGCAATGGAAATGTGGCAATGGAAAATGCCACATTTCACCCAGAAATGCCACAGGGATCAGCACAGACCTCCAGCCCCACCACGGTGGAAACTGAGAGCACACAATGTTACACCTCAAGCATTCCTCAAACTGCACAAGGCCAGGCTCACAACTGGAATTATTTTTAGGAACTGAGCGACCTGATAAATTCAGGGCTATTTCTGTACCTCACTGGGGACAGAGGTGCTGGGGTTGGCCCTGCAGACGTGCCCAGATGTGCCCAGCAGAGGCAGCTCCTGGGAGATGGCACCACGCAGGGGTCCTGCCTGGTGCCACCCTCCCCACACTGCAGGGACAATCCCTGCAGGGTCCCTGGTGGCCACCACCCCGAGATGTGACACCAAGCAGGGTCCTGCCCTGGCCCTGGGACAGTGATCTAGCACTGCTCCTGCCTCAGGATCCTGTTTTTAAGGATCAAGTGATCCCCCTGAAACATCAAACCCACCTCCAGTGAGGACATTTTGGGTCCTGAGCCCAGCGCCGTGTCCAGGCTCTCCCTCTACTTGCTCCTTCCCCTGGGAATGACAGAGCTCTGCAATTCCCTGATGGCTGGGCTGGATCAAACACCCCTCTGACTCCTTGCCCCAGTTTAGGTCATTAATTCTCTTTAACTCAGCACAGACTCCAGTGAATAAACACTTGCTCTGGGAATGCTGAGGGATGAAGGAGAACTGTGGAAATACCCCACTGAGGGGTGAATTTGCAGGATTTTCCCAGGTGTTTCTCCATTCAGGAGCCACCTGAGATGGTCCTGATAGAGCCTGGAGTCCCCGTGCAGGGAGAGAAAGGCTGCACAACCTCACGGAATCCATCCCTACTTTGTCATGAAAAACAGAATAAAGCTGGCTGATCCTGCTTGAAAGGAGCTGCCACTTCCATACATAAACAGAGCAGAAATTCTGTGGAATGTCAGAAGTTGGAGAAACATGTATTTAATAAATAATATAAAATGCTTTTTCTGTTAAAATAGAATTCTCGGGTTTATACCTACAGAGCATAGCAACCTTTACATAAACAAAATAAAGCTGAGTCTGTGATGATTAGTTTAACACAAAATAAAAATACAATTTAACAATAGTATTAAAACAGCCGATGTTCCATCCACACAATATGTACACCATGGAATAGAAACCAACAGGAAACAAAAGTAGATTATCTTGAAACTCCTCAGACATTTGGATATACATCTTTTCTCTGTATACTTTAGATATTTTCCTTTTCTTTTTTTTTTTTACAATATTAAAATTAATACTATGCTTTGTCAAAATACGCTTTTCAGATTTCCTTTAATTTGTAGAACTGACTCATTCCTTATATTAATCAACACAACCTAGAATTATTTATTGTCTACTGTACACTTCAAGCAGTCCTTCCCCTGGGGGTATTTCGGGTGCAAACACCTCAGAGGAGGAGGAGGAGCCGTGTCACTGCCACGTGCTGGGCGGTGACACCGCCGTGGGACACGGAGATGGACACGGGATCAAGGAACCTGGTCCTGAAGCTGACCAGCTGCCAGGGAAAGAGCGACTCAGAGCTCCAGGGATTTCACTCCTCATGAGCTGATTCCCTGCAAACCCCAGGAGTGACGGTGCTGGGGCTGGTGCTGCTCAGGGAGCATCAACCCCGAGAGCTCCTCCGGGCCCCAGGGGCCACTGTGGGCAGGATCACAACCAAAACAAGGCTTTTTTAGCACAAACCTGTGTTTCCACCACCTCCACACCGAGCTGCAGACAGCTGATTTATCTCAGTCAAACCCAACCTCACAATTTAATTTTTGGGTTTTCTCCCCTTGACAGAAGCGGGAGGGCTGCAGACAGCTGATTTATCTCAAAGCCAAACTCAACCTCACAATTTAATTTTTGGGTTTTCTCCCCTTGATAGAAGCGGGAGAGGAAAATCTTCCACTGGGTTGCTAAAGGGGAGGTGCAGAATCACAGGAATATCCTGAGCTGGAAGGGACCCAAAGGGATCATCAGAGCCCAACTCCTGTCTCTGCTCAGGGCAGCCCCAAGAAACTCGGGAAAACTCGGATGTGACTAAGCCAAGGTCTATCCCCAGAGCTGCTCTCTCCCTACCTGCCAGCCTTCCCTTCCCAGACACACTTCCAGCTATTATTAGCCTGCTCCAAGATTTTTTGAAGCCTGCTGGGGGGTGGGGGAACATACCAGGAATGTCAATCCCAGCTGGATCCACTCCAGCATTACTCCAGCTTCTCTCACAGCAGCACTTTGGGAAGAACCCGAGAGCCTGCAGCCGAGGCTCTGCTGGACCAGGGACAAGAACACAAAAAGCTCAAACACAACTAAGAGGAAGAAGATTTACACTGGGAGAAGTGGATGGCCAACACTTGGATGAAGGATTGGAAAAAAAAAACAAACACAAAAAACACCCCACAGTAAATGCTCCTTTAACATTTTCATGAATTTGCAAAATAATTAGCAAATAAAGGAGGAATCCTAAAGATCCCCCACAAATTAACACTACCAGGAATCTTTGTCCAAAACAAAAACTTCAGAGACTCTGGTTCCTACACCAGGAAGGAGCAGTCTGTGGCAGTATCCAGGATTTTTTGGTTTGGAGGGTGCAATTCCAGGTCTCCCTCCACAGCAACACATCCAGTCACTTCCACACAGAGCCCCATCTCTTACTGGGATCCCACCTTCATTCAGGAGTTTGTCACTGTGATAACCTCTCCTCTCCTAGCTGCACAATTAGACACAAGTCAGAAAAATAAAGCTATTTTCAATTGGCAATAAATCACAGCTGGCTAAAGAAATCCAAATCTTTTCCTGCCCCTCCCACTGGGGGTTGGATGGAGCAGCAAGGATCACAATAATGAGAATATTCCAGGGCCATCCCAACTCCATCACATTTCAAAATAAATGTATTTCCCTAAGACAATACACAGCCTTCATTTCATATAAAATCTCTGGGTTTGAGGCACAATTTCCCAGGTGATGAGCTGTTCCTCCCTCACTGCCATCGGCACTGGAATCTGCTGACAGGGAATGAGAGTGAAATCCAGCCATGGAAAAGAACTGAAGGAGAAGAATGGGACTGAGCAGGGACTAAGAAAGTAAAAACAACTTACACAAGAACTGTGAGAAGGTTTTAACATCATTTGAGGGCTTTTTTCTAAATCAAGCAGAAAAATACGAGCATTGCATGGTATTGTAGGGAAAGCTGAACCACAGCCAGTTGGGATGAGGCATTTTTTATCCCAAACGTTTTTTAAATACCACACAAACAATCATGGGATTATTTTAGATCAGAAAAGACCTCCAAGATCATCAAGTCCAACCTTTGACCAATCACCTCTGACACTGCTCCTTACAGAGGAGCTGAAATGCTCAACAGGAATGACAGAGAGGCTGGTGCTGTTTACACAGAATAATTTGGAAAATAAATATGGGGGGAAATCATTGAAAGAAACTACTTTCTCAGGGGGGTGTTTTCCAGAATGCATTTTCCCTTTGGTGCAGCCCCAGCTGGTCAGCAGGGTTTGTACAAGCTGTGCAGCAAACCCAGCTCTCATGCAGAAGCAAACAGAGCCACTTTTACTACTTTTCTCCAAACTCCGTGGTGATCTGACAGCCACACACGCTCGACAAACCACGCACAACTTCTACTCCCACTGACACAGGCACAGCTCCACTGTCTTCAGGGACTGTGAGAGTTGTACCTCTGTAGCTGGGAAGAAAAATCTTCTCTAAGCTGTTCACTGAATTGGAAAAACAGCTCAAGTGCAGCCCTGACTTCTCTCTTAGAAAACCACCACAACACCCAGGGCAAGGCCCAGCTTGAAGCTGTGGGACAGCTCAGGATGAGATCTTTCCTTCAGCAAGACTTTCCACCCTGATGCCTCAGGTAGAATTAACATAAACCTGGCATTTGATCAGCTCATTCTGTCAGTGCCACGCTCAGTTTCCTCACACTGCTTTCACTGTGGGCAGTTTGAACTCTTCAGAACAGAAAATGAGAGATCCTTTCCCAAGCTGAGCTGTGATATGTGCACGAACCTCCCAGGCCGGGCTCCAGGGGGACCTGGGGATTTCTGGGGATTTCTGGGGATTTCTATGCTATGGGAGCACACCTGTGTACAGCAGGGGAGGATCCCAAGTCCCAGGAATGAGGAGTGAGCCGGGATACGTACCGAGGTACCCACACACACCGGAACCCAGCACATGCTCTAGAATGCACTGGATTTAAATAATTTCTTTTTTAATTTTTTAAAAAGTGCAGTTGACCTGAAATGGAAAAGAACTGTCTTTTATGTTCACTGTAAACTTGTCAAAAGGAATCTGCTCTTTAAAAACTGTGCTAAAATAGTCAATTTATACAACAGAGCACTAGATGAAGCTACCATAAATTCCTCTTCACCAATTATTACTCTATTGTGTCAGTTATAGTACTGCATATACGTAGAAGAAGCAAAACGGTGGTAGCTACTATTAGTGAGTACAACAAACCCAGGGAATAATTCGAGTTCAACGCTCCCATGAAGTAGCAATAACATTTAAACCACAGGACAGTTAGAATTCAGTACTTTGAAGTGCATCAGAGTCACACTGTTGATCATCAGCAGTATGGAGCAAGGTTATCAGAGAGTCAGCAGTAATGGTCGGGAAGGACACGGCAACACCACAGAGTGAGGGGGCACCCACCACGGTCCGTCGGTGTCACCACGGGAGCGTCACCCAGCCAGCAGCACCCGCGCCACCCCGGGCACGGCAGGGACAAAGCCTCTTCCTTCCATCAGTAGTTCCAGAGGGACGGAGCTCGGGCGGGCCCCGCCGGGGGTGGGGAGCAGGGAGCAGCCTCCGGGCTCGGTGACGGCGGGCGCTGCCGGGGCAGGGTGCTGACGTGATCCCACGCTGTAAACATCGCGCTCCTCCTCTCCCAGGCACGTCCCGCCTCCGGCTCCGCACAAAGTCTTTCGTTGGCAAGGATTCTGGGACGCTCTGCGGGTTCACCAAGCAGCTCTCCCTGCGGGAACGTGGTGGGTGTCTCCTACAGCCCGTTGCTGTTCCTGTGGCTGAGCGGGGGCTTCGAGAGCTCCACCACTGTGGAGCGGGATTTGTTGAGGAACTTTGGAGCCCGGCGCAGCAACCTCTGGGCCTCGGTGAAAGCCTCTGTCAGCTCCTTTTTCCACTGAACAAACTCGGGGTCGCTCTGCAAGAGACACAGAAGCAGTTTGGTGTGAAGGCTGCGTGCTGGAATCACGTCGGGATCACCAATTACCGAAACAAGGGCGACTCCGACGTGGGTGAGGGAGAGAAAATGATGCATCTGACTCCATCAGCAGCAGGCTAAATAATTACTTTATTACACTATGCTATGTGCATAGTATAATATAATAATTACTTTATATTATAATAATAATTACTTTATTATACTATGCTATATGCATTGTATCTAAACTGAATCTGCCTTGCTCACAACTGCACAGAACTGCACTCATCTCTGATTCTCTCGTGACAGTCCAACACACAAACACACTTGGCCCTGATAGCCCAAGGGAACAAAACATCCCCACTCTGGGTAAAAAAATCTTCATATTGCATTCTACTTTGGCACAGCACAGGCACAGCAAGTGATAAGAACTGTGTTTTCTTTTCTGAGGTTCAGAGAATGTGAAACCCAGAAATATTCCTGGGAAGAATTGTGCCTTTTTCTCTACGAAGAGAAATGTGGCAACAGTTTGGCACTTCATCCTACGTGGTGACTTCTCTTGTAGCCACATTTCTCCTCACAGAGAAAAAGCAAGGCACAATTCTTCCCGAGAATATTTCTAGGTTTCACATTCTCTGAACATCAGAGTAAGGAAAAAACAATTCTTACCTCAATTGCTGCACCTCTTGTTGCTCACAAGTGGAATGCATTATGGAAGATTGTTTCCCTGAAGGGAATTGGTAATTAGATTTTGGTGTGAGTGTTTTGATTCACTGACCCCTTGGATCCAGGTGTGTGTGTGTGTGTGTGTCAGGACTGTAGGCTGACAGTCACCAGATGTTGTGCAGTGGAGTGCAGTTGAGTGCTTGGCAGACTCAGTTTAGATGTAATGTAATACAGTGTAATACAGTATAGAATAATATAGTATAATAAAGTAACTAATCAGCCTTCTGATATCAATGGAGTCCTCCTCATCATTCTTCTCCTTTGTTGGGGGCAAAAATATCTATGATATTCTCTGTCAGACAGCACTTCAGGGAAGATATTTTCATTTTCCAAAGGAATGAACAACTTTGGGTATTGCCCATGTGCAATTCTCCATCACCCCAATGAAAGCTGGTACAATGTTTTGAAGACCTGAGCACTCTCCCCTTCCACACATGAGCTCCAGCAGCTCCCCACAGTGAGACACGAGCCAACGAGGCCCTTGGAGCTTGAGAAGTTTGGGGGTTTTTAGCTATTTAATAAACCCAACTCATTTTGTCCCAAATGCCACTGAAATCCATGACAAGCTGCAGGTTTCCTGCTTTCAGAACTCAAGGGTGATAAACATTTCAGCTCTGCTTCACCAAGTGCCTTAGTTAACATGCAACAGGATGAGCACAAAAACATGTCAATTGTTTGTCATATGCAAAACAATCTGATCAGGTTATCAAAAAATCAAGTCTTACCTCACACTGTAGGACAAACTGTTTTCCTCCTTTAATTCTCAGTAAGATGCATTTCTTATCTTTAATTTGTGTTTCTTCAACAGATACTATTTGTTCCATTGTCAGCAGGTTTTGCTGCAGCATTTGCAAAAGAGCAGAGAATTAATTGAAAAAAATGCTGTTGCCCATCAAATAAAGCCACTATCTCATTTTCCTGGACTATCCACATGAATTAAGTGATGAACATTAAATGTCATTACACAAACATTTATTTCTGAAGGCTGGGTCATGAACTAAAGATAGATAGTAAGGTAAGAGAGAGATTTACAAGGGGCTTTGTTGCTTCAATAGTGACAACAAAATATCAGTTCTGAAAGCCAGTAATGACAGCATGAAATAAGAATCTACAAATAGGTGTGTCTGCAAACAGAATATTCACTATTTTCCCTCAAGAGTTGCATATAATTTGATACATTTTTCAAGCATTACTGTTATTACCAAAAAAAGGCAATTTCACTACTTCAAAGAGCTGAAAGGGAATATTTCAGCACTGAATACTTACAAAGAGAACATAACACAGCAGTGTGCAGGAAAACTCTCCCTATGGACTGCAGAGTACACAATGTCTTAAATTCCAAACGCTTCCTTAATTTAAATATACAAATTATCTGCCCTGTACATGAGCACAGCTGGGCTACACTACAGCCACTATAGCATTTTCTTGGAAATAAAATGCTATAGCATTTGCCACCTTACCAGTTTGTGTTTTTTTGTATAAATAGTCCAGAGGTCCTAAACGAAAAACAACACCATCAACTACCAAAATCCTTTAAAAACACAACAAAACAAACAGGTTTCTCAAGTCAACTTTATGTCTCCTGTGTGCAGTGCAAGCTATGTGTTAACTACAGAGAGACAGGAGAGAAGATACTCAAATGGGCTTTTACTCAGAGAAAACTCCTGCCCCAGGAGAACTCCTGGGCACGCCAGGTGTGTCCCAGCTGCAGCAGAGCTGCCAGGGCCCCTCACTCACCCGGGACTCTCCTTCTCCTCGCCACTCCAGCCGGTTGGGGAAGAGGTAAAAGTAACGCCGCTGCCACTGAGTCAGGAAGGGGTTCCCCAGCTTGAGCATGTAGCCATGCATGATACAGTCCTTGCCCAGGGCATAATCTAAACCAAGAGGAGATGTTAGTGAGCAAAGCTACGGGAGGTGCAGCTGAAGGCATTCTGAGACAGCTCTGTGCAGGACGGAGCCCCGGACCTGCCGTGCCCTCAGCAGGGTCAGATCACACACACAGCCCCAGCCCTGCCCTAACCACACAGCTGCTGGGGCTGCAGAGCAGGGAACAAGGGCAGGACTTGGCTCTTAAAGAAGTATCTCACTGGAGGAAGTTTTTAAAGCGCTGAATGCTGCTCTCCAGAGTTTGGGGGTTTGATGCGACACCCCCGTGCAAGCTGCAGTTTGCTGTGCAAAACCTCCTGGGGCCCTTCCCAGCTCCTGGGCAGGAAATCAAACCCCACACACTGGGAAGGTGGGGAGGCCCTGGCACAGGGGGCCCAGAGAAGCTGTGGCTGCCCCTGGATCCCTGGAAGTGTCCAAGGCCAGGCTGGACAGAGCTTGGAGCAGCCTGGGACAGTAGAAGGTGTCCCAGCCCATGGCACTGGGGTGGAACTGAATGGGCTTTAAGATCCTTTCCAACCCAAACCATTCCAGGACTCTTGTGATTCCATGAATCTCCTTCCAAAGCCTGATGTCATCATTCAGCATTTCAAAACATTAAGAAAGATCTTAAGCAACACGACAGCAATTAAACAAATCCTAACGATTCCTGGGAATGGCAGCAATGGGAGAACTCCAAACCCAGGAATTACTACCTAGCAGCAAAAGATGAGAGAAGTGTAAGGACAGATTACCTTCCTCGTGGCCAAGCTGCTTATTTTTAGCCCTTTTTCTGGCCTCAATTTTATCTGTGTCTGCATTTACTGCATCATAAACAGTTTCTGCTACTTCTTGCTGCCAACGCTCCGATATTACCAGAGGGAAGTTCTTATATAACTCCTGGTCACTATCAAGCAACTTGCAAGAGAAAAACAACAAAAAACCCAACATTTTAATAACTTTCACTACTCTTATCCCCAACAGTTAATAGTTACCCATGCAACAGTATTATTTGACACGATGGATTGAACTCAAAGCTTCACAAAACAAACAGATGCAAGCAAGAGAAGCACAGACACTAATTTAAGCAAAGATATTAATTTATGTGCAGAGAATAGGCCACCTGCTCAAAACTTGTTTGGTTTGATAGCTCCAAAATCCTCACTCAACACTGCCCCATAATGCTCTCTAGACATTTAAACAATTACTCCAATGTAAGCAGCAGTACTCTTAAGTTTGCTGCACAAAAACTTCCCCAGCCCAAAAACTCCATGAATAAGTGCAAAGATACCTTTTCCACAGCAAAGCCTTCCAGGCTTCCACAGCTTTATATTCTTAATAATCAACCCTCAGAATTCATCAGCATGTGCTGCAGATCTCAGTTTTACTGGTAGAAGGATTCTTTTCTCCACTAATCCTTTGAGTACTTAAATTGAATTGCACTGAAGAAAATCAGGAGAAAAAATCCTTCACCAAAAGGGCTTCCCAGCACTGAGCAGGGCAGTGGTGGAGTGCCCATCCCTGGAGGAGCTCAAAGCTGTGTGGATGCAGCAGCAACAGCTGCAGCAGCAGCTTAATTCTCCTGCTGCAGTCAGGCCAGGCACTCCTGGAACAGATATTCTCCTTTTCAGAGATCCACTCTATATCCAGCAGGAAAATACACACCCAGAAGATCTCCCTGCAGCCCCCAAGGAAAGGGGAACAGCCATAGGCATCCCCTGAGGGCTCCCCCCTCATAACCCCAAAGCTCACATGCTCTTTTTGGGGGTCACAGGACGCTCTGCAGAACAAATTCAACCCCAGGGAGCAGGGAGGAGAGCAAAGGGTTCAAACTGTGGTGCCCAGGGCAGAGAGGGCTCCTGGCACCTTCGCTGGCAGCTGACTCAGGCAGGAATCCTCCTGTCCCCTCTGGAAGCCCGTGACACCCAGGGGGGCTGTGCTGTCCCTCCCTGACTCACCCCCAAGGGTAAATTTATCCCCTGGGCAGCCTGAGCTATGAGATTCTGAGACCAAACTGGAGATGACACAGCACTGACCTGCTGGTGATTCACATTCCACGAGAGGAGCTCTCACTAAATCATAAATCATGTCATTGAGAACCTCTGAGCCCCTCAAGAAATAAAAAGACTCCCTGGCTCTTCCTTGCAAAATGTTCCTCTGAATCCTGGCATTGCAGGATCACAGCAGACTGGAATCCTGCCAGGCTAACATTGATGCTGAAGATGTGGAATTTTCTGGGATAAAGAACATCCTGGGCTCTCTGCACTTTTCTGTGCCAGCTTCTGTCACCACAGCAGGTGACACTGACAGACGAGCTCCCTTTTAGGCTCACTGAGTACTTAATGGGGCTTTTTCCTTATAAAGTTTAGAACAATTAGTTTCCCTCCTGACTCACTTCTGTAAGAACAAGAATGAGATCTGTTCTACTGCAGAAATGGGTGATGAAAACAATGAAGGGCACTGACCCAAGCCCTGCTGCCTCAAAGTCCCAGGGAAACTTCAGAGAGTGGAGGAATTCACAGGGGGGTCACCCCCTCCATGTGAGTCCCAAAGGGGCCAGCAGCTCTAACTTCTCTATTTTTTAATATAATTTATATTATTTTCATTACATTTTGGATAATGTAAATCAGAACCTGAAAATTTCTTTTGCCACTCTTCTAACTTATGACATTGCTACTATTAACACAGTTTGTAATTTTAAAGATTTTTCCCCAGCACTCTCTGACCACTCAACTATTAAAATAAGGTTTAGTTTAGCTCCATTTCTCCAAGCTACCAGAAATAAATCCCAACTTTTAAACACACAAACCATAAGGTATTCTTGAAAAACTGAGGCTCTCCCAATTCTTCCCTGACCATTTGAAACATCTCCTTCATCACATAAAACTTTTGGTAAGAAAGTAGATTTCAGTTAACCTAAAAACTTAAGAACTTGTAAAGCAACAACAAACAGGGGAACCAGCCCAAGGTACAGCACGGATTGATTCTCCCAGCCTGAAGGAATTCCTTGCACATCCAGAGCCCTGAAGCAAAGGAATGCCACACACACATGGAAAGCCAAGCACAGCAGTCCCAGTGCCACCCTGCAGCACTGAGAGGTGGGTACCTTAATGCCTTTAGTGTCCTCTTCATCAAAGGAGCCAATATCAAAAGCATCTGCTGCATTGACTTCTCCCCGGGGAGGAATCAGGGGGGGAGGGTACTAGAAATTGAAATCAGCATCATTAAAGACAAATTCATGGGTATTATTTAACTCCCTTCTGTAGTCATGCACAACCTTTGTATTTTTTGCACAGATTACACCTGACTGTGCCAGAGTGCCCCCCTTGGAATTAAACTTCAGAGCAAAATTGTTGGCACTTCTTTTAATTAGAGCTCCTTCAAAAATCTGGGGATAAAACTCCCCAGTTTAGAGACAGCAAAGGAAAGGAAACATGCAGTCATTTGAGCCTGGAAATGTTATCATTTACTCCTAACAATCAGGAAGTTCTGTAGTAATGAATATCCAAATATTCATCAACAACCCTCCCAGTATTTGTGTGAGTGAGCACTTGTGCTGGGCACTGTGACCCTCAGGTTTTCTGTTCAGTACCTGTTTGGGTTTAGTTTCCTTTTACTGCTTTACCAAGTCAGTTAAATTACTGTCTTTATCCTTTACCTTCTGTAAATAGACTTGCTGCCAATCAATGCCTTTGAAGAAAGGATGTTCCTTTACTTCTTGTGCGCTGCAAAACAGAAGTGACTGAAGTCAACAAATGAAAGAGCTTTTCAAGTGTATTCAAGGAATACAAAGCCCTCAAAGGTCACATTTCTATCACTTGAGAACATCAGGGAAATGCTCTTTTTTTTGCCAAATAAAATACAAGAATTCCTCAGTAAACAACAGGAGAGAAGATTTTCATGTGGAAACACTTGGAACACTGCTCTAGGGCTGGCAGGCAAGAACTCCTGATGGCACTCCATCATTTCCAACAGCAAACAACGTTCCTCTGTGTCAGATCCCAACACTGATCTGTGTCAATCCCAAACACTGCTCTGGGTCAGATCCCAACATGGATCTGGGTCAGATCCCAAACACAGATCCAGGTCAGATCCCAAACATGGATCTGGGTCAGATCCCAACAATCCTATGGGTCAGATCCCAAACATGGATGTGGACCAGATCCCAACCACAGATCTAGGTCAGATCCCAAACATGGATCTGGGTCAGATCCCAACAATCCTATGGGTCAGATCCCAAACATGGATGTGGACCAGATCTCAAAAAAAAAACAGATCTGGGTCAGATCCCAAACACTGCTCTGACTCAGAGCCCCATCACTGCTTGTAAATAACCAGATGACTCCACACCATTTGACATTAAACAAATTTTATGGGAAAATAATCAACTCCTCTTGTTATCTCCCAGGGAAAAGCAATCTCAGGTCATTATCAAAGAGGGCTCCAAAACAAAAACCCTTTGAATCTCCCACTGGAACTGGAGCCAGCCCCAGGCTCAGGTGTGACCATCTACCTGTTATCACACATCCCAATGGTTTCTCAACAGTTGTTTACTCCTCTCCCTTTCTCTCTCAGTCTCACACTGGCTTTTTAAGCAGGAGATAACAATTTCATGAACAGCTACAAGCAAGGTGAGTCTGGCAGGAGCAAGGAGTGTTTTGTAGTGAAGAAACAAAACAAAAGCTCTTTTCCTCAGAAAAATCAAGTGACAGGCAGCACCAGCAATACTCCCATCCCAGCTTTTTGCTTGGTGGTTTTGGGATTGTTTTTTGGATTGGTTTTTTGGGGTTTTTTTGGTACTATGCTCTTATCATTACAGATACAATATAAGCAATAAATTTTCCCTATCAGTATGTCTGAGTCAAGTCATATGATTTCATGCCAAAACAGATCAGGCAAAACCAGAAAAACAACCGAGGGATGAGAAGCAGGAACACCACCCAATGCAAGCATGACTGCAGGGAACTCAGAGAAAGGCTTTAAGGACAGAAATTGTCCAAAAAACATGTCCAAACCGAAGGAATCTGAAATGTAATTCCATGCAGCAGCACTTTTTAATGTTCTCTTTCCAAAATTAAAATCCTCACAACAGGAAGCAGATTTTCACTCATTGACAGAGAAATGGAAATTTTTCAAGGCAGAGGTCCAAGGAGAAGACAACACCTACCTTCTTCCTTGGCATCCAAGCCTCTTGCTCACATCCCTCTGCAGGAGCCCTTCCAGAAGGGACTTCAGCTCAGGAGAAAAGGAATCTGGGAGCTCCACATTCTGTGGAGAAAGGAAATACAAAGAGATATTCCACCATTTTCTCTGCTGGTGTTTGGAAACAGCTCTTCTGCGTGCAGATACAGTTCTCTGGGACAACAGGGGGTGCAGTTCCAGTTTTAGGGGAAATGGGAGCTCAGGGAACACGGGGATGTCACTGGGGCCAGGCCTTACCACGGTGAGCGTCATCCGGTCGATCTCGTGCTTATCTTTGGTTTTGTGCTGCCTGAAAGGGCTGTGCCTGTGGAAAGAAGAAAAAGAATGCTAATAAATAAATGCAAAGCCTCAGCATATCAGGGTATTTCAGCTGTGGCAATGCCAGGAAAGAGTGGAGCATCCTGTTAGTTCCATCCTTCCCCCTCATCACCCCCGTCCTGCAGAGCAATCTGATCCACAGGAAGGTGAGTAGAAAGTTGGGTAATTCTTCAACAGTGATCTGGCCTTTAAGATGTGCTTCAAATGCCTCACCAATTACATCTATCTCCCAAAAACCTGAACAGTTTTCAGCTAACAATTAAACCCCAAGCAGCCATCACCCACAGGGATTTAAATCCAAGGATTTCTACAGGGAAGGTGAGCATGACCCACTGAACTCACCATTCCCCATCATGGAAAGTAAAGAGATAAGAGATCACAGATCCCACAGCATCAGCCACTGGGAAGATATCTGATGGTATCTTATAAATTATCAGCTTCATCCCTTTCCTGCTTTATAATTCTGGCTTGAATTTGAATTTTCCTCTAAGCTACACAAGACTGTGACCCATTAGAGATTTATCACACAGTCCTTCGTGAAAGAAGCAGTACTGTAGTAAGAGATATTTTGGTTATATTTAGGATATAGTCCCTGCTTCTTTTCTTTAAAACCTTGAGGGGATGATGTTTTTCACAATCAAAATGTTACTCACTTATCAATTCCATTAATTAGCTATTCTAAAGCATTCTGGCTTACCACATGGCAGAGTGTACCAGCATGTTTCAACTAGAGACCTGCTACTCCCAAGTTATTTTCCTTTTATTCTCAAAAATGTTCTGATTGATGAATGCAATGGATGGACCAGGACTTCAATTTTTCTCTTTTCAGCATGACAGGTAAATGGTTCCCACACAGCCTCATGTACTCTGACAAGGAGGCTCTGAGTAGATCAGGGAAGAAAATGATTCACTGGCGACTTATGGGCAGATTCTGTGCCAGACTAAATTTACCAAATACCAAGAAATGGCACCATGTGCCCAGCCCTTGTTTGGTGATGTGTTTAATTGGCTTCAGAACAGATGAGGAATGAGAGTTCACTGTGAATAATGCTCTAGCTTCTGGCTGAGCACTGATACCACCCTGAACATCTCTGCCAGGGACAAAGACTGGCAATTTCAACACCACTCCTCTCTTTATTTGCACCCTTACATAGTCTGCTTTGTGCACAATTAATGTTAAATTGATACAGCTCTAGAGTTCAATTCACAAGTCACACACTGACCTTCCTTTGTACAATGCCTGCAATGGAGATAAAAGCTTATAATTAATTATGTGTGAGGACACAGGATGACCTAATGATCAACCTTTACAGAGAAGCACTGTGAAAAGCCTCAGATTTCTTCTGGTTTCCATTAACACTGAGGATGCCTTTTTCAACAAGCACTTGCCCATCAGTGCTTGTTGACTGCTCAGATAAATCCCATGGCATTAATCAATTCTAGACACGTAAGTTTAATGAGGAGGTAATTGCTGACAAAGCTGCAATTATTGTGTACCTTTGGACACTGGTAAGGTAACAGGGCAGATTCAGCAAATGGAAGGATCCACACCTTGTACCTGGCCCAAACCCTGCAGGAGGGAAGGCTGAGTAGGACCCAAAAAGGGACCAGTGCAGCCAAGAGCTCCTCCACACCAGGTCTCAACACAAAGCCCATGATTCAACAGGGCTGCTTGGAGCACTCCAAGGACCAACATCTCAGCACTTAAAACACTGCCAGAGAGGAGCAAACTGCTGCCTGCAGCAGTGCAAAGAGCAGACAGAAGTGCCTTCCTCATGTCCCACACCTGTGGCTACTACAGGATGCTTGGGTTGGGTTTGGTTTGGAAGAAAAAGCCTGGTTTTGTCACACATGGGCCAGCACTGAGGCTTCACTTCAGAGAATCTGACACACCATGTCCTGCTATTCCAAGGGACACCCACAGAGGCCCCCAGGCTCCCAAAGGCAAGGCAGGAGCCCCACTCACCCCCTCAGCAGCTTGAAGAGCATGCAGCCCAGGGAGAACCAGTCAGCACTGCTGTCGTAGGCTGTGCCCTTCTGCAGCACCTCGGGGGCCATGTACCCGTGGGTTCCTCTGCAGAGCACAACAGCACAAAGCATTCATTACATCCAACATTATCACTGGGGAAAAAATCATTAAAAACAAGTATTCTCTCAATAAGACAGCCCAGTTTGGAAAGAATTAATTTTAACCATTTTATTTTGCTGCCAATGGGTTTTATGTGTCACCTGTGTGAGCACAGGGCACTCCTGAGCTCACCCCTGGGCACCACTAAGAAGCAGCCACCAGGTACTGCTTTTACCCTTGACATACTCAAAACATACGGACTTTTTTCAAGAAGCTACAGAATTGCAAATCTCTTAAGGTGTGACAGGCTGGAGTTTCCCGTTTTGCATAAATTCCGAGACTAAATCAGGGCAATTGAGGACCTGAGAATGAAACGTGCCAGGTAAGATATGAATCCACACCCAACTCCAGGAATTCACATCCCAGTTAAATCCTGATGCTGAGAAGCAGAAAATAAAATAATTTGCTTCTAGTTCCATGAAGATCCAGAAAGAGAAAGACACAATAAATCCAGGATTTTAGTCAGTTTGGGAATATTTAATTACCAGGTTGGGACAATTAAAGCAATCTGGTACTTTAACTCAGTCAGGTTCTTCTCTGAGCAGTGAATCATCCCGAAATAATGTGTCATCTCCCAGCCATGCCTACACATCAGCTGCTACAACTGTGCAGGAAAACAGGGAGAGGAGCCCAAAAAACCTCATTACAGCCACCAGCTCAGCAAGCCTGGGCCACACAAGTGTCATTCCTCCCCTTCAGGCAAAGTTAAGTTATAAAGACAAATTCAGGATGGATTTAGCACTACCTGTATGTGCAGCAGAGCCCCCAGACATGATACTTACACACTGGCATGCGGCTTCTTTTTGGAGAAGTCACAAGCCAGCCCAAGGTCTGATATCCTCACGTGCCCATGTTCATCCAGCAGGATATTTGCAGGCTGGAAACCAACAGAAGGAGGTGAGTGCTTGGTATTCCCCAGCTGACAACTGCAAACTCTCACAGCACAGCAACTCAAACATCAATACTCCCTGGTAATTGGTAATTGCCTTCTTTTATTTAACATCAATATACCAGGCACTTCCTAGATAAAAAATCCACGTTCTCACAGAGCACTACCATCAACTCCACAGGTTATGAAATACTGAATAACAGGAGGGAATAACCAGGCAAGGTTTGAACACAAAGCAGGAAATAAATGAATAATCCATTCTGGCCTCAAGGTGCTTTTGGTTTCTTCACAGCAGGGTCTGTGTGTGGCTCTTACATCTTTTATTCTCAGTCTCTGGGCAGATTTTCATCCCCTTGTGCTGTCACCTGGTCCAGGGACTCTTCTCTGGGACCTGTCCTTGATTTCCCAAGTGCCAGTGAAACCCCCAGCACCTGTCCTGCTGCTGTCCCCTGTTACACACACAAAGGCCTCTTTCAGGGCTCCCAGAAATACACTATATCCTCTAAATTATTGCCATCAGGGAGATCAGTAACACTTCACAGGATTTACAGTGACCCCCAGGAAGCCTCTCCCGGGCTGGTTAAACTGGATAATGGCACAGATTAGAACGACTTTGAAAACTCAGTACAAAAATCTGGCAGATAAAGAAATAATCCTGCCAAGGAAGGGTTTCAGGAAGGGTAATCCATGGAAGTTATCTGAGGGCTGTGTGGATTCAGGCACCCAGCAGCCCTTACCTTCAGGTCTCTGTACACCACGAAGCGATTGTGCATGTGCTCTAACCCCAGGATGATTTCAGTAGCATAAAACCTCATCTCTTTTTCAGAAAACACTCCGTGCTGGGAGAGGTGGTAGTGCAAATCTCCTCCTGAAATGAGAATTGAGATGTAATTAAGTGAACAGTAAAATCTTACCCTGCAGGCAGACAGGGTGACACTGTGGGGGAACAGCTCAGCTTTTGTAGGTTCTTATTACCTGAGGATCACACAGCCCCACCCTCTGCAAATCTGTGTGGTGACAAAACAGCTGAGAAAGTTCATACAGAGATTTGATCAGTCTGAAACTCCATTTTAAAATGCATTTATTTCATAAACATTTGCATTCAGTGACTAATCCAGCAGAGGATTTCCACATCAGCAAAGGCTGTACCACACACTGGTTTGTGGAGAGCAGAATAAAACCAGCTCATAGGCTTGAGGGACCAACCGTCTCAGCAATCCTCCTGCCAAAATTTCTGCATCATCATCATCATCTGAACAAGCCTTGCTTACCATTCATGAGGTCCAGAATGAAGCAGAGCTTGTCAGGGGTGTGGAAGGCATAGGTCATACAGACTATAAAAGGACAGTCCTGCAAGGGAAAAGCAAAGAGGTTCACCTCAGGCAAAAAGCAAAGTGTGACCTAGGGAAGATAAAAATACATCTGGTGTTTTTCCTGTGCTATTTGCCAGTATTCCCAAATTCTCTCCTGAAATTCAGATTCACTGGTAGCCCCTGTCCCCCCAATGAGGGCCCTGCCCAGGTGACAGTGAAGGTGTTTGGCCTCCAGTAGCATTTCCAACAGAAGATTGAAGGAATGTGAACACCCCAGGCAGGAGCTGGGATTCTGGAGCATTACAATGTTCAGGAAGCAGCTACAGCAACATCCAGATCCTGCAAAACCCACAACACAAGGGCTGTGGGAGCAGGTTTAGGAGGTCAGAGCAGAGCAGCCAGGGCAGGGATGGGCTTCACCTCACCTCCTGATGCACCTGAACCTCAATTCACCCCATGTCTAAGACAAGCAGCCATAAAAAATTCCACTGGAAAAACACATCTTTGTTCCCAAGGTCTGCTTGTGTGCTGGTACCTCCAGGACACACATTCAAAACCCCAGGGCAGCAGCTGGCAGACCTTCCTCTGCACTTGTAAGTGCTGCATGCAAGGGCTAATTCAGAATTATGGAATTGCTGAGGTTGGAAAACCCGTCTGAGACTGAGGGATTCAGCCAAGGCCACCACTAACCCACGTCCCCAGGTGCCACATCCACAGATCTTAAAATCCTTCCTGGGATGTGACTCCACCACTGCCCTGGGCAGCTGTGCCAGGGCTGGAGAACCCTTTCCATGAGGAATGGACCTGCTCTGTCCCGCTGGCCACACTATTCCTGACACAAGGAGGCTCTTGGCTAACGACCAGGGGGTGGCTGCACCTCCTCAACTTCTTCTCCAAAGCCATATGGGATGGAACCAAGGAATGCTTTGGGTTGTGAGGCACCTTAAAGCTCATCTCACCCCAAGCCCCTGCCATGGGCAGGGACACCCTGTGGGAGCACGGCAGGGCTGTGGGGTGGCTCTGCAGTGATCCCTTTGGGAACGGCTGTGCTCCATCCCATCCCACATCCGACCCCAAAGGCAGAGCAGCCCCGCACACCCTGCAGGAAGCACAGCCCCACGTGGCTCCAACAAAGTCCTGGAGCTGCAGGATGGAGCAGGGAAAGCTCTGGGAATCTCTGACAGGAACTTGCTCCCTTCCCAATTTAGAAACAGCAAAACACGGCGGCCTTGGGCAGCGTGGGGCGGCTCCAGAGAGAGGAAAGGGAGGGACAGGGACACTCAGAGCCCCTCATCCTTCCATGGGCTTGAGATAGAAAGGTTTCTTTGTATTTCTAAATCTTCATAAATTTATAAATCTTAAAAATATTACATTACATAAACAATATATTTATATGTTATATAATAACATAAAATATATTGTATATAAATATTATCAATCTTTATATATATTATTTATGCATCTTTACAAATAAAAATTATATTTCAGGGATCCCCACAGTGCCAGGGTATTGTATTTGTGGGGTGTCCCAATGAAGGAAGGAATGATGAATCTGACTTCTCATTTTCAGAAGGCTAATTTATTATTTTAGATACTATACTAAATAATACTATACTAAACTATACTAAAGAATACAGAAAATATATTTACACAATGCTAAATAAGATAATGAAAACTCGTGACTCTCTCCAGAGTCTCAACACAGCTTGGCACTGATTGGCCATAGAGTAAAAACAACTCACATCAGAAACTAATGAAACAATCACCTGTGGGTGAACAACCTCTAAACACATCCCAGACCAGTAAAACACAGGAGAATCAAATGAGATAAGAATTGTTTCCCTTTTCTCTGAGGCTTTTCAGCTTCCCAGGAGAAAAATCCTGGGCAAAGGGATTTTTCAGAAAATGTGAATGGCACACCAGGGTACCTCCTGCCCCTCTCCAACCCAACTGCAGTTTGTGTTTTGCACCCCCCAAACAGGAGGGATGGGTGTGAAACATCTGCACAACATTCAGGAAAAAAATTCCTAACTGGCCCTAAAAATAAGGAGCCTGATGTGGTGTCTAACACAAGACACCACCTCTGGTTATGAACTCTGTGCTGGGGACTATTGTAGCTGCCACTTAACTTCACAACAGCAGCTTTAGCAGAATTATTAACTTAATTTCCTGCATCGACTGGGTAATTCAGAAGTGTCCCCAAGCAGGGCTCCTAAAATTTCAGAGCAATCTAATTACCCAGAAGGATTTAGTGGTAGAATTTAAACACCACACATAGAAAAATAAAAAGGTTTTTCTACAGTAGAACATAGCTTGCTTATATTTTTATGGATTTTAAAAATAGGAGTTATCTGGAAGTGTAAATGTGATGCATAACTCATTTTTGTGCAAGCATTCCTAATTTCATCACTACCCTCTCCTTGCTTAACAGAGAGAAAAACTGTACTGCAGTATTTTCCTGACACAAAAAACACAGCAAAAGAGTATTCTACAGCATTAAAAAAAAACACCCTACAGTTATTTTTTTTAAAGAACACATAAAGCAATAAAACCAATTTCCCTGGAGAGCAATTCTTCATTGCAGTCAACTTTCCTCTCTGATGAAAATAAGCAACATTATGACATTAATGTGTGAATTAAGACCAGTTTGGAAAGAGTCCCTTACATCCAAACAATCTTGGATTGAATCCAGAGAAATGCTGAAGTCAAATTTGTGGCAATAAATCATGTGGAAGGAAAAAAAAATATCAGAGCAACCATTTAAAAAAAGGTAGAAATGTGATATTTTAAAGACATTAGCACACTAAAAAGTGCTCTAGGAGGAAACCTTTGCTTTTGACTCTTCCCTGAAAGCCAAGCACTGAGCTTTGGGGCACAAAGTGACAGCAAACAGGGGACAAAGGTGTGCAGAGCACAGAGCAGCTGTGTCCCAGTTTAACTGGAGGGCAGCTCTGTCCTGACATGTCACCAAAGATGTGTCAGTGCCTGAAACAGTGAAAACCAACCAAGTACCTGTTCTGCTCCAAAAAGCCAGATTATTGATCTCCTGGGGTGTCCTGGGCAGGGCCCTCCAAGTGAGGATATTCTGGGATTATATTTATCATCCCTTGGAGGAAATCTTGATTGCAGCCATCAGTAAAATCATCTCAAGAAGATCTGGGTAAGGCAGCTGAGCTGCTGAGGTTTTTTTAGAAAGAAAAAACTGGGAGCCACAACAGAGAGGAGGCACAGCCCTGCACAGCCCCTGGTCTTGCAACACAGATGGAATGATCCCCTCCTACCCTCAGGAAAAGATTCATGGAATAACCATTCCTTCCACAAGCAATTTGGGACTGGCTGGTTCCATAGTGTCCATCACCACCTTGGTGATTTCCATGTTCCAGTTTTCAACAGGAATCAGGCAAATATTGGCTACTACAGAAATGAAGTATCTTTTTGTTTTAACAGAAAGTAAAATCTTTTCCCTACTCTGTGACCTTCCAAGGATTTCACAACGCCTTCCCAGCCTGTGGGAGGGGAAGATGGGGCCTGTGTCTTCCAGAAGAGGAAACACAAAGCTCAGTGACAGTTTGTCCCCGTTACACCACAGTGACACAGCAAAGGCGCCGACAGAGACCGAGCCCTGCAGAGCCAAATTTGGTGCCACCAGGACCATCCAAGAGGCTCCAGATGCTCTGTTGTACTCCTGACCCCACTGGAAATTGCTGCTCTCTCTAAACCCATGGAAAGCTGCTCTCATCACACAGCCACGACCAACTCCAGCATGGGAGCTCGTGCTCCAGGGTGCTGGGGAATGCCAGGGCTTGAGGTGGATTAACAGAGCTGATTACACAACCAGCTGTGTCATCTGCACAGCTGTTATTATGCATTTTTTGCAGAGACATCTGGATTCCCAGTTAAATGACTAATTGTACTGTGATGGATTTCCCAGTTCCACTCTGCTCTGGGCAGTGCAGAACTGTCCCTGGGCACACCACGAGCCACTGCAGCCTCCCAGCTTCTGTTCAGGGACTGAAGGAATTCTCTTATTCCAGCACCTTCAAACCAATCTCATTCTGCATATTCCAAGTGCTCCAGCTTCTCCTGCCCAGGTGTACCTGACCTGAATGAGCAGCACTTTGTTACAAAACCTCTCTTCAAAGCCCTTCAGATTTCTGAGGATCTGAAAGAAATGTCACTCTAACGAGCTGATAATCCTTAACAAAAGAAACAAATGTTTCCTCCTGCTGCTGCCCCTGCTTAAAGCCTCACCGTGTGCTGGCCTGTGAGAAAACTGCCTCCACCAGCTGCTCCTGAACTATTTTCTCTTGGAATCTCTAGACATGCAAATTCACATTCAGTGCTGGAGCCACAGAATCACAAATTAAAGTTAATGGGACCATTATTACTCATTTGCCTCGATTTCTTGTCTAGTCTCTACTACAGACCCACTCCCCACTGGTTTTCAGGAATCCTGACACACCTGGACAAACCACAACTTATCTCTGGTGAAAACAGGTAACTTGATCAAAAAGCCTGAAGGGATAAATCCCAGATCCCAGAACAGTTTGGGCTGGAAGGGACCTTCAAGTTCATCCAGTTCCACCCCTGCAAGGCAGGGACACTTTCCACTATCCCAGGCTGTTCCAAGCCCCATCCAACCTGGCCTGGGACATTTGAGGGATGGGGCAGCCACAGCTTCTCTGGGCACCTTGTGCCAGGGCCTCCCCCCCTCATGGGAATAATTCCTTCCTAATATCCCATCTAACTCTGCCCTCTGGCAGTGGGAAGCCAATCTCCTTTGTCCCAAGCTCCTCTCCAGCTCTCCTGGAGCCCCTTTAGGCACTGGAAGCTCTCCTTGGCTTAGTGGTGGCCATGGCAGGGTGGGGATAACGCCTGGATTTGAGGATCTTCAAGGTCTGTCCCACAGAGAAGATCCCCTGATGTCTGGGGACAGCCCTGGTGTCACAGGACAAAGGCCACTGCTCTGTGCCACCAGGGAATGCTGCTCTCTGCACAGCCCTTGCACAAAACCACACACAATTCCTCCTCATCCTCATCCTCATCCCCCCGCGTCTGTGGGCACGGGGGCTGTGCTCCCACACTGAGTGTTTAATTCATGCACCACGAGGTGAGGGGAGTGAACCTTCCTGCCAGCATCACCCGTAGCCATGGCAACCTCGGTGTCACTGCAAGGAGGGCACAGCCACCTCCCGTCCTGCCTGGCACTGCTCTGAGCCACCAGCCAGCGACCCCAGGGCTGGGCAGCCAGCACCAGGCAGCTGCTGGCTTTTTGCACACACCAGTGATGGTTTCAGCTTCAGATTTTAATTCGTCTCATTTTAATCCAATTTATAAATAGAACAGATGGCTTGGTACACTGTGGCATTCACATTCTCTGGAAAAATCCCTTCGCCCAGGATTTTTCTCCTGCAAAGCTGAGAAGCCTCAGAGAAAAGCAAAACAATTTTATCTCATTTGTTTCTCCTGTGTTTTGCTCATGTGGATTGTTTACCTACAGGTGATTGTTTCACTGGAGTGAGTTATTTTCACTCATTGGCCAATCACTGCCAAGCTGTGTTGAGACTCTGGAAAGAGTCACAAGTTTTCATTATTATCTTTTTAGCATTCTGTAAGTATCCTTTCTGCATTCTTTAGCATAGTTAGTATGGTATTCTTTAATATAACATAGTATAATAAAATAATAAATTAGCCTTCTGAGAACACAGAGTCAGATTCATCATTCCTTCCTGCCACGAGGGTCACTGCAAATACAACAGCACACCTTGACTCAGCTACAGTACACAGAAAACAAAAAGGGAAAAACTGGATATCAGAGTAACAGGAAAGGGAAGATGAACTGGAGTTTTGTCTGCAGGAGCACTTTAGATCCCACCAAAGTACTATCTAACTATAGAGAAAAAATTTCTTTTTTACAAGACAGAATCGTGTTTTGGAAAAGTTTCAAACAAAAATACTTTAAAATGGATATTTAAAACGTCAGAAGAGTGGGAGGATGAATTACCTCAGAAATGGGCACCCCCTCAAGCCTCTGCAGCAAAGATGCTCATTCTGTAGGACCCAAACTGATCAAGCAAGTTTGGTTTTTCCCTTCTCATTTCAGACACATTGCAAGAATCAGGGGGAGGCTCCAGTGGAGGTTAATTTTTGCATGTCACATAAGGGAATTGATGGAATATGCATTATATGTAACAGATTTTATATTATATGGAAGGAAGAAAGAATAACATAGTGATACTTACTCCTGTACTGACAAGAGACAGCATAATTCTTTCATTTAAGGCTAATGTTTCTCCTTGCTTCATCTTGATTCTCTTCTTATCTAAACATTTCATTGCATACCTGAAAAAAAAAAAAATCAGCAAAAGCACCAAAGATCTCCTCTGTCAGGACTATTCACTGGCAGCCAGGCCATGCACATTCACAGGATCCTGTAAGCAAGCTCCTGAAAGACTTAAACCCAGGACTAAAAACCTCCAAAATGTCCCAGAATTAACACATTTCCAGCAGAAGCCTCCTGACAGAGAAATGTGCTTTAACAAATAATTCCATGTCCAAACCATCGCAGTGAGATAGGAATTACACAACATATATTCATTTTCTCATACCTACAAGCAAGGATCTGCCTTAGGAATTAAATAACAGAAACTCTGTTATGGTACCATTTAATTCCAACAGTTTCAACTCTATCAAGAAAGCAATATCTTGAACACATGCTGAGTTTTATATATTTTTTTTCTCCTTAATTTTCTTTCCACTCAGAAAAAAGTCAGATACACACAAGAAAGCTTTTTTAGTCTCCTACCATCTGTGCTACACAAATTAATAAAATTTTGCTCACAAAGGATGTTACCCTAACAACCACCAACCACAGGAGGATATGATCCAGGCTGGGTATTTTTCCAAGCTGTTGGGTGAGTTCATTAATAGACATCAGTGAGAAGGACACGTGTGCTCCTCCACAGAAGACTCCTGGGCATGGGCACTCATGGATTTTTAGGAAATCACCACATGACAGCAGTGCTTCAATGCCCATCCCCACCCAGCCCCAGAGCCTCACCTTTTGGGAGCTCCAGTTCCCAAAAACAGCCACGTCATTCCTGACATCCATCAATGTGTTGGGAGTGGGGGAGTGAGGGTGAATTTTAAGCTTCCAGACTGGGAATATATTCATGTGTTCCCTGAGGAGTCTGTGAAGGGTGAGTAAAAATAACCCCTGACCCTGCCCTGACCAGAGAGAGGCACTGGGGGTGCCCAAGGCTGAGGGAAATCACAGAATGGTTTGGGTGGGAAGGGACCTTAAATTCATGGGCTGGGACACCTTCCACTATCCCAGGCTGCTCCAAGCCCCATCCAGCCTGGCCTGGGACACTTCCAGGGATGGGACAGCCCCAGCTTCTCTGGGAACCTGTCCCAAATCAAGTCACAGGCTCTAAGTGCAGCAGAGGCAGCCTAGAGGGGATGGGAGCTGGGTTAGGGATGGGCACACAGGTTTGGATCTAGAAAGAACTAAACCAAACCTCTACCCCTCAGCTTAAGTTTTGCTTCGTATTTGAAAAAGAAAGTTGTTTTCACACATTTTGCTTCCCTTTGCTCTATTTACATCTAATAAAACCTGTCCTTTGCTTCACTTTGCCTGTCCTTCTCACTTCCCAAGGGTTTATCCACCTCCTGCCAGAGCCCTGCTCAGACATGGAGATGCCTGGGACTCTGAGAACTGCCTGCTGAGCGTGCCCCAAGCTAAATAAAATGTTTATTTTTGTACATGGGCAAATGAATGAACTGTACATGGACAAAAAGTACCAAAGCAAGAATAAAGCCAGCGTTGTTAGTAAGAGTATTAATATAAATACCTGAAGTCATTGCAGAAATACTGAATATAATAATAGCAGCATTAAGATGTCTTCCACTTGTTAAGAGTCAGAAGTTTATTATTATCAAGGATGTCAGGCACACATAAATGCCAGAGGAGCCAGACACAGGGCACCTCACACATGCCCTGCTCACTTGGAAGGGAAATGTTTAAGGATGGGCTGTGGGCTAAAATTGTTAGGAGAAAAGCAAGATGAAAGGCTGGGGTGTAAATACAGAAATGGATTGATATTGAGAACAACTGGTTAAATCCATGCCCAGATGTTCAATCAGAACACACTGGGACCATGAGGCCTAGAAATGGAAATCTGATGATCAGGGGAGGTGTGTGAATGGTAAGATCACAGAAAGAATAAAAACCACCCAGGGCTGACCCTGGAGCTCCCACGGAGAGCTCTGGGAAGCACAAGTGCAGCAGTGGGATATTCCCTTCCAAATGGCAGCAGGCATCTCTGCTTTCACCACACATGGGGCAGGCACTGATGGAATTCCCCAAACTGGGAGCAGCACACTGGGAATGGGCTCTGGCACAGCCCTGACTGCCCAGATTTGGGGACAGGTTCCTGCAGCTCCACCTGGAGCAGGTGACACCTGAGCAGCCACCAGGGGTTCCACAGGAATATCCTCTGATCCAGGGAATTGTTGGAGCACACATTTGCATCTTCCTCTGTTTTTGACAGAACATTTCCAGGTGCCCAGGAGCTGTGTGACACTGAGCCCCTGCCTGGCATGGAACAGGATCCACTGAGTGAGCCAGGAATCAGAATTCTGGGGATAAAACTTCACCACAAAGAACTTTACAGCAACGTGATGCTGCTTCCCAGTGATTTCCTAAGAAATGACTGGAAGGATTTCCTCACTAGTCCAGAGTTTACAATCTGCCACAGAGTGGGTGATACTCACATTTTTCCAGTGTCTGCTTTTCTGCAGCCGTACACTTCACCAAATCCCCCTCTTCCTATTATTCTATGTACACTAAAATCATTCATGGTCAGCTGCAAATGCAAACAGAAACAACAAAACAAAACCTTCATTTTTCCAGCATTAAAAAACTTACTGTGAAAACATCTAAATGATCCATGAATGTGCTGAGATCCTCAACTGTAATTCAAGAGCATTTACTGTGTTGGAAAAGGAGCCCCTTATTGTTGATATTTCCATGTACTTGGAAGCACTACAGTGTGAAGTAGCACCAAGGGGAATGAGGCTGCTGCTCCCAAAATCTGCCAGTCTCACTCGGCTATTTTTGCAGCCCAAGTTGTCACACAGAAGTGAAGAGGAACAAAAGCTGAGGCCAAGGGAAGGGGCTCAGAGGGTGCTGGGATCACAGACTGGAGTGGGAAAGGGAGGTGGACAGGGATTTGGGCTGGTGAAGAGCAGCAATTCTGGCACTTCAGCTCTTTCAGCCATTAAAAAATCAAAATTCTATTAGCTGAGGAAGGCAGAGGGGACGTCCAGACAGGAATCATCAGGGCTGTGCCTAAGAATAGCAGAGCAGTGACATCCACCACCCTCCTTAATGAGGCCTTTGCAGAGCAGGATTCAAAACTGAACATTCTCTTTCCTGTATCAGCCTCTGACAAGATAAATATACTTGTAAGTACTTACATGAATATTTAGCTCTACATTTTTCCATTGACAAAATCTAGTAAACTTGTCACTGCAAAAGAGAAAAAAAAAGTTTAAAAGTTGTCTGAGACTATTGTGTAGAGTATTACAGGAAATGTCAAGACTCTGATATTTAAAATCTAGTCTGAGCTAGGGCGTGGGGTGGTATTTAATAAATGACAGCCTTCCTTTCACCAACTGTAATCTTACCCCCACCAAGAAAAACAATTCCCAGGCAGAGCACACTCCATGTTCCACATCCTTGGGAGAGAAAGAGAGCAGATAACCTTATCCCTGGAAGTGCTCAGTGTGTCCCCACAGCTCTCTTGCACGGTTTTCAATCATTCAAAGATGGTTTTCAATATTTAAACAACTATGTTTGGAACTAACAAACATTTAAATTACACCAAGAGAAAGATAATTATAAAAAAACACAGGCAGCTCGATTTATGTTAATGAACCTCCCTATACTCCAAGGAACATTTTAAACTCATTTTATCTTAAAATAGGGAAGACATCAGCAATACCACAGGCTTTGGGAAAAAAATAATAAAATAGTTGCTTATTCCTACATGAATAATTAAGTATTTATTTTCAAAGTAAGAAATAACAGCTTTATGGAAGCATTTTTATAATTATCACAGAATGTCACCAAACCAGTTTGGAAAATGGATTTGGGTTGTTGCTGGGTGGCAGCTGAGCTTTGCAGAGCCAGACACAGGAGCAGGAAAGGGCTGCTCTGCTGAGCCAGACCTGTGCCTTCAATTCTTTATTACACAGAATACCCCCAAAACCCCAGTTCTGCCTTTTCTCAGCCCAAACTCCAACCACTGTGTGCCCTGACTGAGAAATCCCTGAGCTTTCCAGCTGCTCCACTCACACATCCTGACTCTGATCAGGATTTCCCACAAAGCTGGGTTAATTTCATTAATCGTGCATTAATACACATTTTTAGCCTTATTTACAGCAGTACTGAAAGGACCTGGCTCCCCACCACAGCAGGCAGATAATTCAGGTAATATTCCGTGTTCATACCTTTCCATAAATTTTTGAAATATTTTTCCTCGGAGACTATCACAAATTTCTTCTATATATGGCTAAAAGGGGTGAGGAAACACAATTAGTATTTAAGCAGACAATAAAAGTCTTTTTTCAATCCTATCCATTACACAGAAGCCTCAACAAAGCATTTTAACTTTATTTGGCTTTAGGAATCTGAGCAGGTGCCCTGAAGTCAACCACAAAATACTTTCATGAGCTAGAAAACCTTAAGGGGTGTGAGGGCAAAAAATTCTTCTTTCAAATGTATTTTACCAATAAATTGTCACCCCTGTGGAACCCAAACCTCCCAAAACTCATCTCTGTGGTGCTTCTCTCCTCTCTGTCCCTGCTGAGAGATCAGCACCTTGAAATCACAGGTGACTTTTTCCAGGGAAATCCCTCCCCTGGGTGTGCCAGGGCCCAACCTCCTCTCAAGGTAGTGCTGAGACACCCCCAGCACTGCAATCACCAATTTCCAACAGCCAGAACAGCTCAGGAGCACAAAGACATCAGGCAGGGGCAACCTCCACATTTTTTTTCAGCACATAAAAATACATCAGATTTAGATAAAAGACACTTAAGCTTACAAACACCCCCATGATGGATAAGATTATTTCTCCATTGCTCAGTTCACCCTGACAGGATGAGCATCTTCCTGATGGAAAGTGATTTACTCTAAATCATTTAATGGCTCAAAATTACACAACTATAAAAACTCTTCTGCTCGCACACTAAGGTATAGTTTGCTTTTCTAAATGTTCTTGAAAATATTATAGTAAGAAGAGTAAATTGTAATTTTGACTTGGAAAAGCATTTCAATCCCACTTAAAGCACAGAATATGCACCAGTCCCATTTATTATGTTTCTTTAAAGAGTATCTAAACAGTCACTTTCTGTCAGAGAAGCTGAATGCTCAGACTGTGAAAGCTCACCTGGAAAAGGCTGGCTGGCACTTGTTTCTTGGCTAAATGTGTTTGTACATGATCTACAGCTTGTTTTGAGAAAGGCTTTTGGAAAAGAAAAAGGAAGATTTCAAACAGTTGGAACTGTCAGGAGTTTCATTTCAGGTCAGAGCACTGTTGTTCTTTTTCCCCACATGGAAACACCGACCCCAAGGGGAATCAATAGGGCCTCCCACAGGTATGTGACAGTGAATATTGTGTGAAACGTGCAGAATGATCCAGTAACAGGATTATTCTGAAGCAGAAAGGCAGGAGAGGGGAGTATGAGGAGGAGGAAGGTAAAAATCAAAGGGGGTGATGATCCTCCTTTAACAAATCCATGAAAAATCCCATTTACAGACACAGCTCCAGAGCCAGAAGAAGACATGAACTTTTTACTAATAAAATAATGCATTTTGGGGGAAGAAAAAAAAAAAGAAAAACTTAAACCCTCCACCCAAAGCATGATATCACCAGGATACAACACCCTGCAAATCCTTCTTTGAGATGAGAGCACATGAAACTGTTAAGAACAGATCAATGGGCCCAAAACTCAGCTGGAGGAAATGTGTATTTTCAGTGACTTTAGTCACATCTTTATACATGCACCCTGCATTTATTTCATCCTTTTGGAAACAGACATTTAGTCTAAAGAAACATAAACCAGAAAAATCTCCTGATATTTCCTCTGTGTCCACTAAGTTTAATAAAAATTGCAGCACGCCACCAACCTCTACACCTCAAAAATAAAAATAAAATAAAAAAAGCAACATTCTGAATTCAGCCAAACCCAGACCCTGGATTTCAAAGGGGGAACCCAGATGGAACAGCAGCTATTCCTGCTGCCAGGCAGGGGGAAAGGGCAGGATACCCACGTGGGAACAGGAGAGCAGCTCCTTCATGATGTAGGTGTCGTAGATCTGCCGGCTCCGCGACAGCCGCTCCTCCTCCGAGTCCAGCTTCTCGTACTCCTTGATCTGCAGCACAAGCACACACCACACACTTCCTTGTGATTTCTCACGCATTGGGTCAAAACAGGGCTTGACCTGAAGTTTTATTTGATTGTTTTATTTGATTGTTTTCTTTATTGATGGAAAATCACCTGTGACAGCACAGTTACGGCTGGGATTTCCCTTTAATATTGGAATTTTTCAGCCCCAGTACAGGTGCCCAGGGAATTGGTGCAGTCCCCATTCCTGCAGGGATTTAACTGGATGTGGCACCTGGGGACATGTTCAGGGGTGGACTTGGCAGTGCTGAGTGAACAGTGGGACTCAACAGGCCCTTCCAATCAAAAATTCCCTGATCACAGCACATCCTGTACAGATGTCCAAGAAAGAATATAAGGCACATTTCAAAATGTTCACATAGCTCAGCTACACTGTGGATTTGAGACCTAAAGGTGGCTAAAAGACAGTTTTACAAAATACATCCAGTTTCCTCAGGTGTGCTGTAGGTGATCAGTGTGTTCCAGGTGAAAAAACAGCAATCTCAGACAGTTCATTTACAGAACAAATCCTGACAACCAGTTCCAGAACAAAATCTTCACCCAGTCCAAGGGTCCTCTGGAGCATATTTAGGGAAAGAGTTCTTCCAGAAGTGACAAAATGTAAAAAAACATGCAAGGGGAAAGACTCAGCACTGACTTTCTGGACCTTCCAGCATCAGCCTGTGAAGCCCTGGGATCCAGAGCCCTGGCAGTGAGCAGATCTGCTCTGTGCCACACAACCCCAGCATTGCTGAGGTTGGGAAAAACACCTCCCAGATCATCGAGTCCAGTTCTCAAGAGACAAACTGGAACCAACCTACCTCTGGAGGTGGAACATTAATTAAAGTCAGTATCTTTCTAGCTGTACTGCTCGTGTTTGCTGACATGATAAGGCACCAGTCCCACCCCGATCTGCCATCTGTGCTGCTTCCCCCTTGATACCAATTTATAATTAAAATGACTCAAAACGTCTTTGCCCAAGAAACACTTTTAATTAATGCAATGACACAAAATAATTAGCAGTACAGGAGGAAGCCTGATGGATAGCTGATTGTCTTATTTGAGCACAAGCTCCTATCCCTCAATGTTTGGTTGTTAAAGGACCCAACTCTCCAGTCAGTGTTCAGGGGTTTCAGCAGAGTCCCCCAAAGACCAAAAGGATCTCCTCAAAAACTGGGATCAGAATGCATTTGTTTTCAAGTATTTAGAAGCTCTTTTTTTCCCATTTTTTTTCCCATTTTCCCCCCTTTTTCTTTTTAATTTCTTTTCTTTTCCTTCTGAAACCAATCGGGATGAATCACTCATCCTGTTAAATGCCTGATCGTGACTCCAGCTGCAGTGATATGAAATCCCTGGAGTACAGAACTCTTCTACATCAAGCAATTTTTAATGTAGCAATGTACTCAGATTATTCTATGTGTAATAAATGCAGCAAGTAAATCAAATATATAAAAAAAGGAAAAGCTCCTGGATCCGGTATGTCACAGAGGAAAACACAATGAACCTCTCTTTAAATATCTTTAATGGGATTTTTCCAGAAGTACATGACAAAGCACTGAAATTCTTTTGAGGCAACATTTTGCTAATAACCTAAAAATACAATTTTGAATTGTTTCAGAGATAAAGAGGCAGCCAAAAATATCTTGCTAAATAATCTGGTACAACAGGCCTTTTCGGATTACTTATGACAGTGATATCTTCAGTGTATAAAGAGATGGAAATGATAGAAAAAGATTCTTTATTGACAGCAGGTATCTGATCTGAGTGGGGGAATGGAATCTTGCTGAGGACTGAGCTCTAAATTGATACCAGCTGTTTGTGCTGATAGCAAGGAAAAAGGTTAAATTCTCAGCTCACGAGTGAAGCAGCCAAGGCTACCCCAGCTCTAATTCACCCTGAGCATCAAGGATGGCCATGAAATCAGCATCTGGGACAGGATTCACTGGGGCTTTACTCAGTGTTACAAATATAACAGGGAATGAATGAATAGAGCCATGGAGCTCAGACCCTGCAGCAGCAGAAGCTGGGGAGGGCCAGGGCATTCCTTGGAATTATTGATCCCTTGGGATGTGCCCTGCACAGTGCCTGCCAGCTCCTTCACTGGGTATCTCCTGACAAGGGACACAACTCATCCATCTGAAGCCACCTCTCGTGTCCCCTCTGCCACAGCAGCTCCTGAACCATCTGAGCAGCTCCCACCCCTCATTCCTCCCCAATCCCCCCCCTGCTGCCTTTGCCATGGGTGAAAAACTGCTGGGAAGGACCTGAAGGGTTTCAGTGTCACCCCAACACCAGCAGCTTCATCCCAGATCCTTTTCTACCAGCCCACGCTGCTTTGATTCCCTCTCCTTCCCTCTCAGCATTCCCTGATGGAGCAGGAGAAGGAGAGCCTCCCTCAGCCTCGCTCCCTGCACAGCCCCAAACCTCCATCACCAGCACTCACCTCCTCATAGAACTTCAGCTGAGGGACAGCTTCATCGATCTCATTCATGCAATAGTCTTTAAAGAGCAAAAATCCTGGAAAGAAAAACAGAAAAAAATCAGAAAAAAACGTGTCTCATTACACTTGTAAAAAGGCTCATGAAACCACCTGAGTTGCACCACGGGGTGTGTAAACCTGTGTGAGCATCCCCAATTGCCAAGGTTTAGGATTCTGACTCCAGCTCTTCATTTCCAGCACAAAAGGATCCCAAGCCTGCCTCACCTCCCACAGGTGTATTAAGCCCATTACTGCTTCCACCTGCTGAGGATTTTATCAGGCATTTCCATAATGCACCAAAATATCCTGTTCCTCTTCACAGACCATATTTTCTTATTCTCTTTTTTTTTTTTCCCAGTGAAAACTAGACACTATTCACGTTTTGGTTTTTTTTTGTTTTTTTTTTTTGCAAGAGATTTACCTACATTTCACTGATGAAGCACAACCTCTTCTGCACTCGCGTTTCAGAATTACCGGTTCATGTTACCTCTAATGGGTTTTATTGCTCAATAAATTACATCAGGGTCTTTACAGTTCCTTTGCAAGTAATTTAGAGCATGACCCCGGCAGGCTGCAGATGAGAATCTTCCATTAGGAGCATTTTAATGCACTGTCACCAGCCTCATCCCATGGAAGCTCTCTGTCTTTCCCTGCCTCTGAGCTGGCACCTGCTACCCTGGAATTTCACACAGCAATCTGTGTCACAAATGTCCCCATCAGTGCCAAACCCACCCAAAGTCCCCCACCTCCTCAGCCAGACCGTGCACCTCCACCTCTCCCTGCCAGCTTGGCTTTTTGAGGACAAAAAGTGAAATTTTGGGAGCTGATTCAAATTCCTTATTTCCCACATGACGGAACCAGCAGCAGCATGGAGCAGAATCCTGCTGAATGGACTGAACTTTTCTAGGACAATGAACCAAAGATTGGGTAATTAAGAGACTGAAGAGTGGCACAAACAGCTCTGAATGCAGTGAAAGAAAAATCCCTGGCCTGGTCCCAGCTCCTGGCTGGTGCCCAAAAAAACCCACAAACAACAAAAAAACACAACAATAAACCACAAAGACAACTGTGGGAGGAGTGTGAAAATATACCAACACACATTTCCAGCAGGGCCACGCCAAACATTCCAGCCTGGCTCAGTATTTTCCAAACTTTTTAAATTTAATTATGGCAGAGAAAGATGAGGTTCCCAAGCCCATGGCACAGGGAACAATCAGAGGCTTATGCAGCCACAGGACACGGGCTGCTCCTCCCTGAGGCCCCTTGGCACTGCACTGCAAAAACCCAAATACACCCAAAATATACAGACTGAGAGCTGAGGCTGCCCAGCCTGGGGAAGAGAAGGTTGGGTAGGGACCTCACAGCACATTCCAGGATCTGAAGGGGCTACAAAGAAGCTGGAGAGGGATTTTGCATCAGGAACTGGAGTGACAGGACAAGGGGGAACGGCTTCAGACTGAAAGGGAAATTTAGGTGAGGTATATGGAAGAAATCATTCCCTGTGAGGGTGGGGAGGCCCTGGCACAGGTTCCCAGAGAAGCTGTGGCTGCCCCATCCCTGGAAGTGTCCAAGGCCAGGTTGGACAGGGCTTGGAGCAGCCTGGGATAGCAGAAGGTGCTCCTACCCATCCTACCATGGATGATCTTTAAGGTCCCCTCCAAGCCAAACCATTCAGTGATTCTGTAATTCAGACAAATCCAGTTAGACCATAATGCTCCCCAGACTGGAATTGTTTCTGTTTCAACCTCCCATTCTATCAACAGACCCTGCACTTCCCCTGCAGCACAAAGGAAATCTCCTCCTTTGCTGCTGCTCCTGGATTGAGTGAAAAATGATCAGCCAGAAACTGCAGCTCTCACATAATGGCACAACGAAGTGACAGATGCAGCATTGAGTAAGTGACAGGAGTTTTAAGAAGTTCAGGGGGAGCTGACGAGGAGCACAATAAGCACAGTGAACAGCACACAGAAAAATAAGCCCAGGAACAGAAAGCAGGAATTAATAAAATGATAGCGTTAAGTAACAGCTAAAAAGAACCAGCAATTATTTATGAAATAAAGATGCTGACAGCTTTGGCTTTAAAGATTCCTTCTGCTATAACTATATAATTTCTGCAACAACCAGATCACTGGTTGTTAAGGGAAAGGAAAAATATTTTTTAAGAGATTCTTCTGCAACACCAAAGTGATGGATGATATCAATAATACACACACAGAGTGTGAGGCAGCACCCAGCTCCTCTGGGCTCTCAGCCTCTGGACAACCATTTTCCCCTTTAGCTTTGTATGGATAATCCCAAGACAAATTTGCCAAGTGCCATGAATTGCACTGACTCTAATTACCATGGCAAAATGTCTTTCAAGGAGGGATGAAGGCCACCTTTGAGGTTTGCAGTGCTCATCAGAGGCTCACAAACAGGAAGGGATGGGCTGGTGGGGAGAGCAGATTCAGGTCAGGCAGCTCACCCACAACCAGGTACTCACACAGCTCATCCCCAGCTGGACAAGGTCCCTGTCCAAGCTTGGAGGGCACAAGGAGGGGAACCAAGTTAACCCATCTCTTTAAAACAGAACCTGAATGTTTACTTCAGTATTTATTTCAAATAATTGTGGTTTTCCAGCATGACCACAAGAATTTTGCATGAAATCCTGACTCTAATCAACAGCATCACCCCACCCCTGGTTTTTGTCTCCAATTCAGCCCTTCCCACAGTCAAAGAACACAAATGCTGCTGGTGACCAGCCACACACTCCAGACCCCTCATCATGTTTGTGACCTCCACTGGACCCTTTCCAGGAGCTCCTTGTCTTTCTTGAACAGTGGAGATAGAACTGAACACCACAGCCCAGAGTGGCCTCACTAGGGCCACTCAGCAGGATTAAAGCCGCCTTCTCCTTTTCCACTTCCGTGGCATTTTCCTGTCTGTGGCCCTGCCAATGTCCCCCCAGGGCAGCAGCCACAGGGGCCAGCACTGTCCTCTGCCTCCTCCAGCAGTCTAAAGGTCACCTGCAGCCACAGCACCACCTCTTCATCCCTGTCAGTTAGCTGAGAGCATGGAATAATAAATAAAATAAAACAGAACAACAACGAGGAACTCCATCATGAAACACTCGGAGAAAATGACTTATCTAATTCTAACTGGAATTTTATGAGCATCTGATTCAAGTAACCTTTTAACAGAAGTAAATAAAAATCTTATTAAAGCAAACAGGAGTGACTAGGTGAGAGAGCAGAGCTAAAAATAGCCACGTTTAGCCCCGATACCAGCATTCACAATGTCACTGATTGAAAGGAAGCTGCATCTATTTACAGCGGGCCTGAACATGGTCCAAAACGCTGATGTAGCCTCTTTCTAGTAGGCAAAATAGCAAATTAGAGAACAAAAATATCAAGCTGTTTCCAAATCCTCCCGAAACGTGCTGTGTATAAATACAGAACCCTGACAAACAAAGCAGCAGTGACATCTGCACCAGACACGGGCTCCTTTCCCGGCCAAGGGCTCCCGGGCAGGAAAAGCTTTGGGAACGTGGGATGGGAATGTGAGCCTGCAACACAGGCTCTGTCCCTGCTCAGGACACTTGAAGGTGTCCAATCTCAGTCACTCCAAGATGTCTCTCGTGATCTTTGTAGCTTGGTGAACTCGGATAACAGCAGGAAGCCATGGCTGGAGGGACGTCTCACCTCCTGCTCTCTGCACCTCCCTGGCAGCACACTGCACCAAGGGAGGGTCAGGTTGGAAACCAGGAGGAATTTCTTCCCAGAAAGGGTGGTCAGGGGCTGCCCGGGGGGTTCAGAGTCCCCACCCCTGGAGGAGTCCAAGGAAGGCTGGATGTGGCACTCAGTGGTGACACGGTCGTGATTTCGCACAGGTTGGACTCAATGGTTCTGGGAAGAATTTCCTGACCCAAATTATTTTGGGATTCTGGGGCATCTCCTCCTCAGGAATGTCTCTTATGTAGAACAAAGCTCAGCCACCACACCACAGTGACATTACAGCACAGCTGTGTTTAAATCCAGCTGTGGGTGTGTTCAGCCTCCTGAAATAGCCCTCAGTGACCTTCAGATCCACCAGCACCAGGAACAGATCTGGGTCATAGGCACAAACATTGGGACAAAGTCTCAAAAAACCACATAAAACCTGTGATTCCCACCAGCCTGCAATTGTCACAGAACACCAGGCCAGGCTCAGGCTCCTGTTCTGTGCAGTGCCCACACAGAGCTGACACAGCACAGAGTAATCCAGGCCACCTAAGAGCTTCACCACTGAGAGAACCACCAATTTTCCTCTCCAGGAACAAAGATCACCAGGGAAAACTGTGTAGGAACTGTGCTCTGGCAAGGTGCAAAGCCACAAAAATCCTCCCAGCCCAGAAAGCATCACACATTCCACTACTTTCCTTTCCCTTTTCTATTCTTTCCTAATTGAGCCCAATGTTCATTCCCTTTGCATTAAAAATAATACATTATAACAGACTGAAACATATTCCTGTGCATAGAAAGCAGGGGAAAAGAACAAACTGTATTTCATGAGGACGTGCATCCAATGGTGAGAAGCACAGAACAATCCCCTTAGAACAGAACCAAACTGAGCTCAAAATTAGGCTGCAAGTTGCCAGGTAGCTTGTTTAATGAGGTCTAGAAATCATTATGTGAAAATAAGCTTTGCCTAAAAGGTTTTAAGTGTTGTCAAAGAAAAACTTCTTATTTCCAGGCCTATTTTCCAATAGCTTTTCACCCAGAGAAATAATTGTTGAAGCTTGGTCAGCCCTCTTTCCAAACACCAGACTTGTGCATGCCTGGAATTCCTGCAGGGAGAGGAGCAGGAGAGCTGAGCTGCTCCTCCAGCACTGACACTGGGCACATAATGGAGGAATATTCACAAATTCTGTGTCAAACCTCAAAATCTTGAGCCGGAGGTAGAGTATATCAAGCAGTGAATATACAGACTTACTGAAATAATTCAATTATCCTGATTCAGGTTGCCCAGAGAAGCTGGGGCTGCCCCATCCCTGGAAGTGTCCAAGGCCAAGTTGGATGGG